GTTCGATCACTGTCATGTCACACAAGAACAACGAGTCTCACTGTACAACACAAGAATGCCTTCATTCAATTATTCAAAAACATCTTCATCATTATCTTTATCTTCCTCATCCCCGCTTAGTTCTTCTTGTGGTACCCTCCTCACCACATTTTCGCAATTTCCTTCACCTCTGCATTTGCAGAACTCCGTACATGCTAGACTGAACTTGGTACAGTTACACATTGCTGATTTGCAGCCAGATTTGCAACCACAGCTGATAAGATGTAATACCTCATCTGGCACAATAGCCTGTCCGTCACAGATATATACAGCCTGGAGCAGGTTAGACTTCTTCTCCCATCCAAACTCTTGAGGATCTAGAGGTGGAGGTGACGGCATGCCAGCATACTTTCAGAGAACTGTCTGATAGTGGGCACGGGTACAGTGTGGTCTGAAAGCTGCCATTGTTGGTGGTAAGCTGCTCAGTTTTGATGGTACATGTCTTTTGCCAGCTAGCTTTCGTATGAAAAGAGCTGCTCGCATGGTGTTTACAGATTTGTCATGCTTCTGTAGGTACAACATGCCTACATATCCCAGACAAGAGTCGACGATTTCATCCAGTGAAGTAGATGGATCTCCTAGCTTGATAGTGTCAGCAAATGCTTCCAATTGCTTCAGGACTGTTGCCTTGCCAATTCCAGCAAAAGAGGATACGGAATCGCAACCAGTTAGTGCGTGAGCCGCCAGGAGGTTGGACATAACTTGTGCATGCTTTTTTACAACTTCATTGACATCAATCATAGAGCGATTTCTGGTGCATGACTCCATGAGAAGTTGTACTGTGCTTGGCATGTCGTTTGTTTGCACATGTAGATGGTAAGCCAGGATCACAAGGACATCTGTGTCGTCGGTCAGACACAACTTTGATAGATGAATTCCCTGCCACAGCTTTATTTATTGCATGATAAGCAATGAGGATGTCAGCTTCCTCATGTGTCACTGGTGTGAGCTGGGTACCAGTACCTACGTCAATGGGACGAGCATCAGGCCCTGTCACAAACTCAGTTTATCTACGATCATTCGAATAATCTGCTCTTTGTTAGCTGTGACATTCAACTAGTTATTTTGTAAACTTAAATGGTCCTTAGATTGAAGTATTAAACTAAAACATGATAACTTATGCTAGCTTTAGCTTGCGGTATTAAACTTAAATGGTCCTTAGATTGAAGTATTAAACTAAAACATGAT